ACAGCAGCTTGATCCCAAACTGGTAATCTGGGGGGGTCAGAGGTCACGGGGTCAGAGGTCACGGGGGCAGTGGACCTTCCTCTTTCCCCCCCCCTCCTCCAGGTGGCCATTGATCCCCAAATGGAAATGGGGGTGGGGGGTGGGATCAGAGGCCAGGGGGGGCAGGGGAAGCCCCATGGAGGAGCTATGGGGCAGGGGAGCATCTTGTGGAGGGTCTATGGGGCAGGGGAGCATCCTGTGGAGGGTCTATGGGGCAGGGGGGCCGTGCCGTGGGGCGCCGTGGGGCTCACAGGCGTTCTGGAAGAGCTGCATGTGCATCTCCACGAGGGGGAAGCTCTGGCGGAAGCTGTAGGTCACCAGGATCTTCTTCTTCTGGAAGATCTTCGTCACCTGCCGAGGCCACCGGGGGGGTCACTGTGGTGACCCCACACCCCCCACACCCCAGGGGACCCTCACACCCCCCCCCACTGGACACCCACCCCCCGGCTTCCCCCAGGGGTCTGGGCTCACCACCAGCAGGTCGTTGAAGAGGAAGACCTCGCGCTGGTGCAGTCCCAGGCGTTGGGGGCGGTTGGGGTCAGGCACCTCGTAGAGTTGGCAGCAGCAGACCAGGCGCCGGTGGGGCAGGGAGAGGACCTGGGGGGTCCAGGGGAGGGGGTCAGTGAGGGGGGGGACACAGGGGACACACACTCCCCTCCCCCCCCTCACTCTCTAGGGTGGTGGCATCCCTTGACATTGGGGTGTCCCCATCTCTGGGGTCATCTGGAGCGTCCCCACTGGATCATCTAGAACATTCCCCCACAGGGTCACCTAGAACATGCCCCATGGATCACCTAGAACATCCCTCTATAGGGTCACCTTGAGCATCCTCCATAGGGTCACCTAGAACATTCCCCATTGGGTCATCTAGAACGTTCTCTGTTGTGTCACCCAGGACTTCTCCCATAGGGTCACCTAGAACATCCCCCATAGGCCACCTAGAGCATCCTCCATAGGATCACCCAGAGTATTCTCCGTAGGGCCACCTAGAACTTGCCCCATGGGTCACCTAGAACTCCCTCCCACCCCTCAGGGGGAAACCCACCGGCTTCTTGCCGACGATCATGCGCTCCACGGCCTGGACCTGGGAGACGTGGTCGTCGTTGGTTCGCAGCTCCCGGTTCTGGATGCGCTGGTAGATGCCCACCAGCATCTCCCGGGGGATGTCCTCCCCGTTGTCCACCCCTGTGGTGGCCACACCGCTGCTCTAGAACCCCCGTTCCCCAGCAGAGGAAAGGGGGGGGACGACACAGGGACAGGAGGAGGGTGTGGGTCCTCACCACGGAGGTTCTTGATGAAGTCCTCCAGCTTCATCTTGCGCTCGGCCTTGACGCTGGGGCTGTACATGTCGGTGTTGAGGAGGATGATGGCGAAGGCCAGGATGAAGATGGTGTCGGGGTTGCGGAACTGGCGCAGCAGGGCCGCGTTACACACGCAGTAGCGTTGGCTGCAAAGGGGTGGACAAGTTTCCCCCCCCCACAGGTCCAATGGGGTCAGGGGAGCCCCCAAAGGCCAGCCCCCAACACCCCACAGGGGTCCCGGCCTCCCCTTGGCTGTGGGGCACCACCTCTAATGTCCTCTCGATCCATAGGATCACCTAGAACATCACGTGAGCCACCACCCCATAGATCTCCCTCTCGGTCTACATCATCTGGTCCCAATGTGGGCCACCACCCCCAGCATCTCCCTCCTGATCCATAGGGCCACCTAGAACCATAGGACCACCCTGCTGACCACACAACCACGTTCCACGGCCCGGTGGCCTTGCCGGTGGCCCAGGGAGGAGATGACGTGGGTCCAGTGCCCCATAACCGTCCCTCACCTGAAGGCCTCGATCAAGCGCTCGACCTTCTGGGCCTCCCCTTGAACCCGAATGTGAGACTGGAACTTCCTCAAGGCCTCGTCCAGCTCCATCCCAGAGAAGTCCATCTCGTCCACCACGCAACTGGAGAAGGAACACCCCCCCCAAACTCAGTCCTGGGGTGACCCCCAAGTCCCTGCACGTGTGTCCCCCCACCCCAATCCCAGTGGGGTTCCTTACTCGAGAACGTCGCGGTTGAACTGCTTCTGGCGGTTGCCCAGGAACTCGCCGATCATCTGCCGGCTCAAGCCCTTCCTCTCCAGGATGAAGTGGGCCACCCCCACCGGGGTGTCCGAGAGGAACCCCCTCTCGATCAGGTACTGGATCCCCTTCTCCGGTTTCCTACCAAGGTCAGAGGGGTGGGATTTAGGGGTCACCTCCCACCTCTGCGGGGCTCGTCCTGGTTGGAGGGTGACCTAGAACGTCATCTCCTGTCTATAGGGTGGCTTTGCCGTGGTTGTGGAGTCACCTAAAGATCACCTTGGTTTGGTTGGGGGGGATCTCCTCAGACCTAGAACATCATCGTGTCTTGACTATTGGGTCACCTAGAACATCGCCATGGCCATACTTAAGGGCTGTCTAGAACATCATCACGTTCTTCTATAGGGCCACCAAGAAGGTCATCCTGTCCTTCCTATGGGGCCACCAAGCTCATCCTGTCCTTCCTGTAGGATCACCTAGAACATCACCCCATCTTCTCCACAGAGCCACCAAGAACTCTACCCCGTCCCATCCATGGGGCCACCCAAAACCCCATGTGGGGCCGCTATGGGGCCACCAGACCCCATCCCACCTCCCACTTGGGGGGTCCCCACCCTC